TTCTCACAGTCGCTGCCTGGGGTTCAAGATTAGTTTCGCAACGTGTAAGCAAAAGTGTCCAAAAGATCCAAGCTGCAGGAACTGAGGCTGGCTTTTCCTGAGGGAGAAGGAAGAGGATGGCTTTCTATCGCACACACCACAGGCTCTTCCTCTGGCTACACAGGCCAGAAAAGTGAGGAAAAAACAGGCTACTAGCTCATAATAATAGTTACAACAATATATTTCTTGGGGAGCTTTCTCTATGCCAGCTACCAAGGCATGGAATACCTAAATACTCAAAACTTTTATGGGGAAGAGACTATCATTATCACCATATTACAGATAAGGAAAATGAGACCCAGGTTAGATAACAAACGAAACTAGTAAATGTCTAACCCAAGAGAAACTCAGTTCTGACTCCAGGTCTTCCCATTAACCACTATACAAAGAGGTCCCTGCCCACCACACCGCCCGCATTACCGCCCTAACAACCTAACTGGTTTCCTTAGCAGGCTCCATTTGCCCCGAGCCCATTGTTTTATGTATTATAATATGGGCTGTGTAGAGTCCTTTTTATTTTCCTGTTTGTTTCATTTTTTCCCCTCCTTCAATAAAATTTAGTGGCTATTAAAAGTAATTAATCATACCAACAACCCACTTAAAAGATATGAGATCCCACCTGGTTTGTGTCATGCAAAAAAATCAACTTTCACACTTATAGTAGTTTTCCCCCTTCACTGTGTTACGTAACAGTGAGGATTTCAAACAAGTTGTCAGCCCCCAAGTGATACGGCCTCCCCCCAGTGGTAATCTCTCCTCTTCGCTATCTAAAGTTCTCCAAAACCTTCCTTTCTTCTTCCATTCACTGGGTATCTCCGGGGACTCAGACGCAAAGGGGACCAATCTGCTCAAACAGAATCAAATTGGATAAAACCTGACAGACAACCCGATTTGGTAAATACAAAAACAAAAATTTCAGTTAAAAATTAGACCAAGCTGGGGGCTTCCCTGGTGGCGCGGTGGTTGGGAGTCTGCCTGCCGGTGCGGGGGACACGGTTTCGTGCCCCGGTCCGGGAAGATCCCACATGCCGCGGGGCGGCTGGGCCCGTGAGCCATGGCCGCTGAGCCTGCGCGTCCGGAGCCTGTGCTCCGCAACGGGAGAGGCCACAGCAGGGAGAGGCCCGCGTACCGCAAAATAATAATAATAATAATAATAAATTAAATTAAAAAATTAGACCAAGCTGGAGAGAGCTATTTGAAATACCCCTTGAGAGTCTCTTTCGTTTTACTTCAGCATTTGAAAAGCGAGTGAGTTTAGATACACAGCCAACCTGCCATCCTACCAAGAGATAGATGCCTTTTCACTGGATTCTGAGGCAGCCTGACAAAAGTATGCTCACGAAGTCACTCACAAAATGACTTTCACAAAGTCACTCACTCCAGGATGCCTTTGAGTGATGGATCTCTTCTCTCCCAATTAAAATATGGGTTGCCTTACAACCCACATTTCAGGAATAGAGCTACTGAAAAAATAAGATATCCACTGACAATAAGTTTCTCGGGGGTGAGGGGGGGGACCGGGAGGACTGAAACATTTCCACCAGGGGGCGCTATCCTCACTGAAAGTAAAAAATACAGAGTTCCTAATTTAAAGCTCTTTGCACACTAACCAGCCTAAAATAAATATTTTTTTATGAGAGCTTTTAAGATGAACAATGAAATTGTCTTCAAATCTAACATTCTATAGTTAGATAAAACTTTTCTTTCCACAAAGAACAATGATGACATAACATTTCATTACGTGCCAGGCATGGATCTATGCACTTTACTTATAAACTCATACAACCTCCTCACACTATAAATATAATCCTCATTTTACATATGGAGAAACTGAGGCACAATTAAGTGACTTAACAGAGTCACCAATAGGCAGAGCTGAGATTCAAAGTCTGACAGTCCGACTCCCAAGTCCATCACTAACACACAGAAAAACACGGAATCACAATATAAGATTTATTGCTGAATGTGTTTTGCTATGTCACTGATTATATCATAGTTCCAGAAATACATAAAATTAGCTTATTACTAATTCTATCACCTGACAGTAATGTTCATTGCATTTTGACATCATTTTCACTTGTACATAAATATCTATCAGTGAAGGGGACACATCACCTAAGTTCACTTATTTGTCAGATGTATGCCATTGAAAAGACCAAAATTCTAGAGTTAAGAAGAAGTAGGAGGAGGAGAAGGATCTTCTCTGGTTAAAAGGTAAAAAGAAAAAAAAATGCAGTTGATGTAAAACCGACATAGAAGTTTTGAATCATATTCCAAATATTGACTTTATATGTTTACATATATATGCTAATGTATGACGTAGGTATAATATATGTAAACACAGATGTACACCTATTATTTCTAAAATAATGAAAATAAAATACCACATACTAAACCTCAAAAACAAAAAAAAGTAGAAAGATCTGCTCTATTTTTAAAGGTTGATAATAAAGAGTATAAACTACAGGCAGAGCTATAGCTTTAAATAAAATACTCTGAGTAAATCACTTATTATTAGGACCATATTGTGACTCTCTAAATTACCCCCAGTCTTTGGAGCTTACTTTGCATTCCCCGTTATATTTCCAAACTTGGGACACATCTGTGATTCTCGAGAGGCTAGCAACGCATTTTGTAATGGGCAAATATTCAAATATTATTGGAAAAACCCCAGAATGTGTGTCTTGAGAAATTTACTGCCCCGATTTATTAGAAGTCTGGAAAAAGGTATTTTATTCAGCCACAGGTAAACTTGTTTCAGACATTCAGATTACAATTTCTTTAGATAAACTTTACCAGCAATTGGGCTTTTAGTGCGTTGGGGGGATGGGGGGAGGGCAGACTCACATGTGCCTTCAGTATTAAGCTTTTAGCATTCAAAGTCCTTCTAATTTAGTCCACTTCCTACTCGTTGTGCAATTTTGTAAAATTAAGGAAAGTACATGAAACAGCACAAACAAGGATCTTCACTCCAATACTGGGTGCACCACCAACACACTAAACCCAAATACCCATCAGATGGAGGCCAGTTAAATAATTATAGCATATCAACATGTTGGACTACTCGGCAATTTAAAAAAAAAAATGAGGCAGCTTTGCGTATACGGATATAGAAGTAGAAAAAAAGCAAGGTGCAGGATGGGAGGGAGACACAAGAGGGAGGGCATATGGGGATATATGTATACATATAGCTGATTCACTTTGTTATACAGCAGAAACTAACACAACATTGTAAAGCAATTATACTCCAATAAAGATGTTAATAAATAAATAAATATATATATTATGAGCAAAAAACAAAAAAAGGCAAGGTGCAGAACAGTGGGTATAACGTGCTAGCAATTTATGTGAAGAAACATACACATAACTGGAAACACTGATTTACTCCAGGCAACATACAAGGGACTGAGGCATGGGTATCAGAGGAAGACTTACTTTTTGAACACCCCTTTGAAAAACGTGTTTGAATTTTTTTAACCAGGTCCATGAAAGATCCTTTCCAATTGTAATCGATTATAAAGTTAACATTAATAATTTAATAATCAGCTTTTAGAACTTTTAATAAAAATTAAATGGCTAAAGAAACCCTAGTCTAATGTTACCTAAAAATTAAATAAATTAATAAAAATTAAATGGATAAAGAAACTAGTCTAATGCTACCTGATTTGTGGTTTCCTCGCTACACTCGCATCTGCTTTCTACTTGACCTCTTATATACTGGGGACAAGTGACTCATGGGTAGCTTTGGTTCACCACTGCTCGTAGAAGCAGTGGTACCATTTTCCTTGATCTACCCTTTAGATACGAAACACAACAGAGGTTGTTCTGAGTCGTTTGCTTTTTGTATATATTTTACATCTGTAAGCTTTAAAATGGTAGATCCAGACTTCCTGGAAGAAGGGACAATATATTTACTTGAATATACTGACTCAGGTCTCCTTGAGTCCATACTCACCATGGCTAAGCCACAGTTATAAAGGAAGGGTGTCCAGGAAACTGCTTCCATTTTTATCCTGTTCATTCCTGAAAATCCAACAGGAGATTCTTTTCATTCTCTAAAATTCTGTTCTGTGTATAAAGCAGTATCTGGATATCTGATCTTAAATGGAAACATTACCTGAAAACGGCACCATCTTTTTTAAAAACTTCAAAATTGGCCCTCTTATTTTTAGCCTTTGGGGGTGGGAGAGGATGACTAACAGAAGCTGACTGGTTCTGCTGCAGGGGTGCATTCATTCACATCTGATTCGCTCCAGTGGGCAGAATTGTATTTCTTCTGAAGTAAAGGCAATTAGCAGAAACGAATCTCAAGTTTAAAATCACACTGACTCAAAATGAAGTGAAATGTGAGCCGTCCTATCCTAGGGCAGGTGTGGGGAGAAGCCACCCGCAGATTATGTAAGGGTTGAATGCATTCCCCAACCTCAGTGCCAACTCTGGCTCTACTAGCCCACAAGCTCGGACTTGGGAAAGTTTCTGCATCTATAAAATGGGAATACTGTCACATCTTGTAGGGTTTTTGTGAGGATTGAATGAGATAAGGCAAGAAAACACCTAGTCTGGTGTTAATCACACATTGTTGGGGGGCGGGGCTGAGCAAAGGGATTTGAGGCCAGAACTGTACACTTTGGCAGTCTTCAGGGACCAAATTCACAGAAAGGGGCCCTTCTTGCCTTGGTCTGGATGAAGACAGGACGCCTGAGTGAGTTTTCAAAGAACTTCACTAAATACAACTGGAGGGGATGCTGGAGCTGTAGTGTAAACCCTAGTAGCAGTGTCATGAACTGTGTAGCCAAGAGGCCAAGAAAAGAAGGCAAGGGCAGTGAAAGGGTAATGCAGCCAAGAGGGAGGAGAAGATACTATCTGGGCGTGTGAGTAGGCACTGAGGCAACCAGAGCTGCTTCTGAGCTCTAGAGGCCCTCGGTTGAATGCTTGTTTATCCAGCTCCGGTCAAAGCTTACCGAGATTCGGCTGAGACACGGCCATGGACCTCTGGGGCGCTGGTGTGGAAGTGGCACCTGGGTGGAGGTTCATATGATTCAGGGGCTGATTCATCGCCTTCCTAGGGTCTTGCCATGTGGTGATTTTTTCTATGTGACTAAAAGAAGGAAAACAATTACCTCTTTCATTGTTAGCGTTATCAATGTCATCATCAGCAGTAACAACACAACAGTTAAATGATGCTGGCTCTTCTTGCCTTAGGATCTGCTTATACGAGGTTGACACATTGTTTGTTTTCAGCCAAGGTCAGGCTTGCCCACTTACCCTCCATCCAAGTTGGGCCACGTTGGGGATTTTGCAGGGGACTCTCTGAACATAAGTCCATGACTTAGCTGACCAGCTGCCCCTATGTGCAAACACCCTCTTAAGGATTTTCTGCCTTACCAGGGATGAACAAGCCCCAGCGTTCCTCCCCACGGTCCAAGGAGCCTACGTTCTCCAACGCCCTGTGCTCACTACCATCCAAGCACTGCGATACCACAGTGCAAACTCCTCTCCCAAAGCCGGACCTTGCGCTCCTGCCTGCCAGCCCTCCCACGCTCTCCCAGCTCATATAATTGACGTAACGAGGATGCCTCCACCTGTCCTCAGCCAAAGACAGGGCCCTTGAAACCAAACTCATAAACATCACATTGCTGAGCTCTTACAAAGGGTAAGACACCGTGAGGTCCACATAGGTAATACCTAAACCCTCAAGAAGTTTATGTTCTACCATGCAAGATACCAACTGTGTAGATGGAGAACAGGGTAGCAGGAAATAAGTCTAGGAAGTGCCAGATTATGGAGAAACCCAGATGCTGAGGCATAAAGGTTTCTGAGGGAGGAGACGTGATTAGACTTTTGGTCATATACAACTTCCAGGGTTTGTTATTACAACTTAATCTCAGAGAAACGAGCATGACATCAGCTTCTACCCAGAGTTTCCAATGTGTCCGTAGAAAGATGGATGGGGGACTTCCCTGGTGGTCCAGTGGTTAAGACTCTGCGCTTCCACCGCAGGGGGCATGGGTTCGATCCCTGGTCAGGGAACTAAGATCCCACATGCCTCGCGGTGCAACCAAAAAAAAAAAAAAAAAAAAAAAAAAAAAAGATGGATGGGACATCTAGCTTTGTCTGCCTCCCTCCAGACCACATCTTAAGTCACTTCTGGTGCCTTAAAGACCCTGTGCCACTCCATAAACTCTTTTTTGAGAGTTTATTACATTTTTCTTTTAAAGATAAGCATATTCATTTGGTGCCACAATTCTTGTTTTATGAACTGTATCAGAGATCTTTCTGTATTTATCAAGGACAACGAACTTTGATAGCAGAAGCTGAACGTCAGTCCTTTGTTCCAAGCCTTGTAACTAGGTTGTCTCTCCCAAACCAAAGGGCAATGTCAACCCCACACACTATAGACCTTTCTGGATCCACGTGAAAAGGAGAGAGATTGCTCCTTTCAAACACACCTTGCTTTTGAATAACAATGGCTTCCTTTGAATCCTCAGTTTAGGAAACCACTATTAGTATCATTAGGCTAAATCCTAAATCAGTGCAATCTCCTACACTGGAGTTGTATTTATCTTTTAGTTTGCTTCTGTTTCCTCACATCTGAATACTGCCACTGCTAAAATTCTTCTTCAGATTTCTTCATCCCAGACTGGAAGTTATTGCCATGGGGAGCTCATTCATTGCCTTGAGTGAAAACTTGGATGTTTTCCCAAGAAGGCCTTTAAAATGAGTATGATTAAAAAAAAAAAAAAAAGTCAGCTTCCATAAAGGAGGCAAAATTAAGTTTAACTGTTGAGTTTCATACTATAGGAGCCATCCGTGGTCTTTAAAAAAAAATCAAAAATAAACTGGGAGGAATAAAAATTAAAAACCAAGACGATTTTGTTAAGAAAAACACAAACGGGGCGGGGGGTGGGTAGGGGGCTGAACTACAGAGATGAAAGTCAATTACCTAAGCCTAAAGGAAGAAACAACGGTCTTAGTTACACCTTCAAGTTTAATAATTGTAATTCTGTTCAAAGCTTGCATAAAATCCTTTGTCAACTTTTGGTCTTGTGAAGACTCATAGCCAGCCTCAGGGGGTCTGTCACAGGCCTTCCAAGTGAGGAAACAATTGATGAGGATTTCAAAATTAAGCTCCCTTTAGCAAAGTAATGAGTTAAGAAACCCTTTGACTAACTATTCCTTCAGGACTCTTACTACTAAAACATGTTTTCCCAAGGTAGGCACGTCCTACAGAAATACTTTCCACTGTGGTACCAGGAGGGGACGTATCATTCTCTCTTTCGTGAGCCTTTCTTAGAACCTCTGGCACCATGGATATCGATACTGTGGTAGAAGCAGCATGCGTGCAGCCCCGGTGAGACGCACTGACATACACCGTACAGTGGAAGACATTTAAGGATGCTGCTGTGTACAGACACTCGGCTATCTGTCAGTGGTCGGAACTATACAGGAACCCGAATGATGCATTCCCAAATGCCAGTCCCCCACCCTCCCCTCCCATTCTGAACAAGTGGGCTGGGATTCCCAAATCTGGGGAGAGCAGAAAGGCCCACACCCAAAGTGGTAGAGGAGCCCAGCTTGCCTGAGGACTGCCACCACGGCTGGCCAGCCTCCATCCCCTGGGACAGAGGTGAGGGCTTTCTGGGGGAACACTCCGGCCCTCATTCCGATAGATCCGACCCCAAAGATGCACAACTCAGCTGCGGCTTCAAGCCCCAGAACCCCCCCAGGACCGTGGGAGTCTCCGCAGCCCACCCTTCAAACTCCACACCCAGCCAACGCTTTTAAAGGAGTTTTGTTCCCAGCGGATTTGTTAATTAAAAGTGTCACTCACTGTATTCCCCAAAGACTTGAGTACAAGAGGGAGCCTTTCATACGTGAGCAGTTCTCATTGCTCTGAAACAACTCTGAGAAGAAAGCCACTCCAACTCCCAGCCTCTGCACATCCGTCGACCCCACTTTAGAGCTCTGCTCTAAAGTTTAGTTTATGTGATGTCCAGGGTGGCTCCTGGTCTGAATGCTAACGGCAAGGGCACTGCTCACAAGAACTTAATCCACTGCTCATGGTTTGATTTGAAAACTAAATTCTCTTATTGTTCAAATCACTTAGCTCCCCTCACCCCATTCCCAAACTTAGGATAAGCCACCCGCTATTCCATACTGCTGTCTCATCTCTGCTCCTTCTCTGAGCTACTGAGTCACTTCCTTTCTTGTATTTCTCAGTGCAGCCTTACTGTTTGCCAGGACCCGCAGTTTAGATAGATTAATCCCCACTTCCCTACTACTCCCACCCCTCCCTGATGTCACTCCCTTAAAGAGTCCACTTCAAGAAAATGTCTAAGGGAAAAAAGAAAAAAAAAAAAATCGATAGGGCTTCCCTGGTGTCACAGTGGTTGAGGGTGTGCCTGCTGATGCAGGGGACACGGGTTCGTGCCCAGGTCCGGGAAGATCCCACATGCCGCGGAGAGGCTGGGCCCATGAGCCATGGCCGCTGAGCCTGCGTGTCCGGAGCCTGTGCTCCGCAACAGGAGAGGCCACACCAGTGAGAGGCCCCCGGAAAAAAAAAAAAAAAAAAAAAAAAAAATCGAGAAAAAGAAAGAAAGGAAGGAAGGAGGGAGGGAGGGAGGAAAGAAGAAAATGTCTGCTGTTTTAAAAGTCTAGTTTCTCTTAAAAATTTATATATTTATATATACTTACATATGTATATTCAATCTGCCTATTAGTGTGTATTCTATGATCACACATTCTATACAGTTTTCATATGAAAATGGAACAAAAAAAGAAAATAAATACCAAGTATTTATGGTGATATATGCAAGTAATATGTTCACTGGAGCTTTTTTTTCCCCCTTATCTAAACTCTTCTGTACTTTCCAGTTTTTAACAGTGATAATGCATTGTTTTCATAACAAGTAAAAACAAAAACACTCATGAAGGTGCAAAAAGACAAAAAGGAAAATGATGCATGGATATGCAGGTCATAGGTACTAAAAAGTTATTGGAGATAAACTACAGATTTGGCTCCTATTTTTGAGTGGCCAAAGTAAGAAGGGAAATGGATTCAATTACATGGCCCCATGCTTTTCATAAAGAAAAAAGAATGACAGTTTCTAAGAGAAAGAAAAACTCTTCTTGACACACACACACACACACACACACACACACACATACACAGAATTTTCCTGGACATTAAAACTGTCTGGGGCTTCCCTGGTGGCGCAGTGGTTGAGAGTCTGCCTGCCGATGCAGAGGACGCAGGTTTGAGCCCCGGTCTGGGAAGATCCCACATGCCGCGGAGCGGCTGGGCCCGTGAGCCATGGCCGCTCAGCCTGCACGTCCGGAGCCTGTGCTCCGCAACGGGAGAGGCCACAACAGGGAGAGGCCCGCGTACTGCAAAAAAAAAAAAAAAAAATGTCTGCAAGGGTTTCACATGGAGGCCTGGGGTGGTGTGCAGTGGAAATGGTACCTGAAAGGAAGATAATCAGGCGCCCTCTTCCTTTGGGGGCCCCTTTGACCACTACTTCCCATACTGCCTTTCTTCACAGTCTCATAAAGGACAAACCTCCAACCACATCAGGGTCTGTGATGTCCAGGTTGGCAAAGAGCCTCAGCTCTGAGGACCTGCATTTTGCCCAGGGGCAACAAAGGTCAGCATTTATCTGAGAAGATATTTGGCTGGAAATGGTAGCTTATGGAAAACTGTGCTGTGTTAAATAATTTTTCCTTCTGGAATTAATGTGTTCTTCAATAAAGACACAAGTTGAGAAAGTCATTTTATGTATTAGGAAAATTCTATGTTGGGGGTTAGAATGTCATGGAAATCAGTGGGGAGGGGCAGAATTACCACCCTCTCCTATCAGCCTGGCCCCTCCCATCGGCCTCCAGGGGATTGTTAATTTAGCTCCTATTTCCTCCCTTCCAGCCCCCTGCATGACCTTTCACCTTGATGAGGGCAATGGCCTCCAGGCTTCTCCTCCAGTCTCTCAGGTTTTCCTCTTGCCCTCCATCCCTTCCCCACCCTCCCTATCTGACAATCCCTTCTTTAACCCACCTCCAGACTCATCCCAAGGACAGCTGGGATACAAGTCACCCCTGCATCCT